CAACATGTTCTCACTGCTTTTCTTTCGTTCGTATAAGCCATCCTAAAGAATGGCTGGACGCTCCTCCCGCACGTCCACCTCGCCTCCCACAACAACTTGCTGGTTTATGCACTAGCCAGGCTAAAAAAGGAAAGTCACTATCATGCCAAAAATGTAACTTTGATAAAATACGAGGGGATAAGTCAGCGTAAGCGTGACTGGCTTGGGTTCCAAAGAGGATAACGTGGGAAGAATAATTTTACTTTCTTGCCTCTCATGCCTACCAAATGCGTGGAGTCAGTGAATTCCTCAGTGAATGCAATAAATACCTAAGAAGAGCAAAAGAGATTTTCTGCTCTAACACAAAGAATGCTAGACAGTGAGAGCGAGACTGAAATCATATCCTAAAAGAGGTCGTGTTTTCACCCCAGGATGCATACTTTAACACTTTTAGATGCATTCAGATCTGTGGGTTTAATTGCTGTAATTTGGAGAGCCATATCCCATTTAAAGCGAGAGGAAAATGCTCCATCTGTTTTGTGGGTTCACCTACACTCCCATCACCTTAAAAGGGATGCTCTTGTGCCCTCTGGCTGTGCACTGTGAGGGTTAAGCAGGGGGGAAAGGCGCCTTTTTGGCACTTTCCAAGCCTACAGTGCCCAGGACAGGGTTGAAAATGTTCTTTCTAGAGGCTTTATTTTTTTATGATAGACACTCCATTGTACTTTTATATGGTAGCAGTAGATTTACATTTTCTAGGATATCCAGAATCCTTGCTCAAAGCCTGCTGAGCTGAAAAGCAGCCACCAAACAAACCTCCGTGTGTTGATAATGCCCCGTTCAGCACAGAGGAACAGCAACCCCTGCTTCAAGAACAGGAGAGACTTTCTCTGCTACTCCTTCTCCAAAAAGCTTCATGGCTTGGATGTGAAAAGAGAGAGAGGAAGGAAACCTAGATCATGCATCAGCCGGTTTTCTGGGATCTCGTTTTCTGGTGACTCCAACAGAAGATCTGAAAGCGTATTAAATCCAGCGCAGGGTTTGGGCATTGCCAGTATTCAGGTGTAGCTCTGGGCTTCGCAGGGCTGAGCAGAGGCGATGCCCTCGGGACTGAAAAGAACGAGAAGTCTCCACAGGTCTGGCATGGGCACAGTCATGCTTTTCTGTCCCTGGAAAAAGCTTCTTTAAATAAAAACCAAACCCTCCTTATCTTACTGCACCCAACAGCAATACCAACACATCAGATGCCCCTGCAGCTCCCCGAGGCTGTTCGCTCCCCTCATACCCTCAGGAATTTCCAGCCCACCTGACCTCTATGGGCAAGTCTGTCTTCTCAATATGACCACTGTAAACACTCCACATTTTAATGGGCAGAATATCTTCAAAGAAGTTACTCTGATCTTCAGAAGCCGTCATGGTTTGACAGAGGTTGTTTTGCCTATCTGCAGCGGAAGCGGAGGAATGCGCAGTTTATACTAAAATAACTTGCACTTGTCCTAATCGCAGAGATTTCTGAGCCCCAGCCAAGCCTTTTCACGTCATTACGGTCTGCTGCGGGCTGCGGAGGAATTATTTGCCTCTTCACACTTTTGATCTTTGCAGAAAGGAGCGTGAGGCATTTCCAGCCCAGATGTTCACGACGTTCCTCCTAGACCCGATAGAGAAGTTGCTCCCTAAATTACCACCGAGCCTCATGCCTAGATTAGTTCCTTGGAAAGGCAGAAAATTAAATCAACACGGAAGCGGTTCTGTCAATGCCATCTGAAATCACAGGAGAGAATTTTGAATGCCAGGCAAAAAGCACTTTGGAAACGTTGTGGTTTGAGTGTCGGGAAGGCGTGGGTCCCATCCGGGTGTGGTGGGAACCTTGACATGCAGCACCAGTGGTGTCAGTGGTGCTTCAGAGACACTTCAGGGGACAAGGAATGTGTCATCCTGGGATGCCATAGCGTGCGGGATGTGCAGGTGATGGGGAAGGAGAGGCTTGGATAGCATCTCTCAAGGTGGTTAAGCCTGGTGGAGGCCACACTGTCCTCCCTGGGGCTCTCCTCTGTGATGCCCACCCCTCTGCATGGCTGTGGGCTGTGGAGCTCTGCACCAGCAGGTCCAACCCTGCTGGTCCACTGCAGAGGGGTACTGTAATCCTCACTGAGATTTCAAATCACCCATTTTCAGATTTGAAATATTTTAATCAGATTTGAAACAGAAGACCTGGGCTGTGGGTGCTCTGGAAGGAACTGTAATTTGGCAGTAACCCCATGCAGGGCTCCGGAAAAATCCAATTCCCTGGTGTGAAGGTTTGTGGGCAGGACAGCGAGGAGCTCTGCAGTCTCTGGGGATCCTATGGAAAGGAAAACTACTTGGAGTCAGAGTCTAGAGGTCAAAGGAGCTATGTATGGGTCAGCTTCTTAAATGCAGCTCGACTTTCATAAACCTTTCTTTTACCTGTACTTCATATCCACGGCTGAGCAAAGGTGGATTCAATGCACCAGTCTGAATCTTAAGTTTGAGATTAAGCAGTCTGGGTTCACTTTTGGGGCTAGACAAGTCCCTCCCAGCAAGTCTGAGAGCAGCAAGTGCTATACACCTTGTGTTGACTTTTATTCTCTAATAACACTTTCCCCCTCTCATCTCCTCTTTTTTCACATAATTTCCTCAGTGTCCCTTTCTCTCACCAGTTCATTTTTCTTTGCAAGCTCTGCAAGCCGGTCCGCAGCCTGGCTTGAGCTGAACTTCTGTATCAGTAGCAGTGATCCAGCGTCACTGCATTAACTTCACCGTGCTTCACGCTAGATGTCTTGCTTGAAAACTCCAGCAGATCTCTGTTTTCCCCTTTTCTGTTCCCCTGAGGGCTCCAGGCTGGGCTGAGGCTGGGTGTTGTTGTTCCCCCTTCTTAAGATAAATGAGAAGGGAGAGGTTTTCTTGCAGAGTCTTATTTTCTTACACTGAAAGCTCCAACAGAACCGTGGTACCGCTGAAAGGGTGGCTCTCTGGCCAGCGGCGGCAGAACAAGCAGACAAGTTTACAAATCACCACACTGGCACCATGAGAGCTTCAGGTCCAGTTGGTCTTTACGCTGATGGCAGTAAGTGACACAGAGAGACCCGGCATCACTGCTGGGGTGCAAACACACGGTTCCACCAAGGTGGCTGAGGAGATCCTGTTCTGTGCTGAGGGAATGATGAAAAACAAAAGCAGAGGTGATAAATAACTCCAGATCTATTACTCTTTGAAAACTATCCATTGGGGAAAATGCAGAAACCTCATTTTCTGTACCAGGTGAAGCTGCTGATGGACTCTCTCTGCACAGAGCTCTGCATACGGGTGCGTGACAGTGCTCTCCACAGCGTTGCCAGCAGCTGTGCTGGATTTCTGTGCCCATGGCTGTAAGGAACAGGGATTTCAAATAGCTGAACAGCCATTTAACTAAAGGGGCTTTGGTGATGCTGTGTTTTGTACCTGGAGCCTTGATGTCAATGAGTGTGGCACAGCACAGCGAATGGTGCTGCGGGAAATCTCAGTGAACCCGACGGGCTGCCTGGGCTTCTCTTGCTCTACCAAAGCAATAACCAGCTCTAAGTGTGAACGTGAACATCCCCGCCGTGCTGCTCACAGCCCTTGCAGCTGCCGTGCAGGACACTGCATGATGGGCTGTGCTGCCCCAGACCTTGGGGCTTTTCTGTCTCCCTGGATCCAGGATTTCTGGACTTTTTGTTCAGCTCAGAAGCACTGTGGGGGTCTCCTCTGCTGGCTGGCAGGAGGGGTACTTGCTGGTTTAGTTTCCTAAAGGCATTATGTGTCTTCAGTCTGAACTCCTGAGTGCAAATATTCCGGTTGAGCAGCAAGAAGTATTGGCCTGTTCACAGGTAACCTGAGCAGCTGAAAGAGGAGTTGAAAAAAACCACACCAAAAAAAGCTAAAGAATACTTTTGACATGTCCTGTTTCAGAGCATAAACCAGCCTCTAACTTCTGGGCTCCATCCCCCAAACAAGCCAGCAGTCGGTAGCAGAACACCAGATGATGCAAGCCCCCTTCTCTGAACCTGCTTGGCCATTCCTGTGGATTCGTGCAGCTGCGTTTTATGTCTGTGCACAGCTGGCTGTCTTCTTCTAGTTGGTTTTGGCATCAGTTTTGCTTGTGGATTTAACTAATTTTTTTATCTCCTCCTCAAGCATCTTGTTCTTCTTCTCCACATCCTCCCGTGCGCGCTCCACGCTCCTCAGCTTCAGCTCCAGTTCCTCAGACTTCTTCTTCTCCTTCTCAATGTCCTGATTCAGCCTCACCACTTTGGCCCAGACTTCATAGTTTTCCTTCTCGAGACTGCAAAGGAAAACGGAGTGTGAAAGGATTGGATCAGAAAAGCGCTGGCAAGTTCATCATTTGGGTCCTAAGGAGTCTGCTGTCCCGATCCCCTGACCCTCTATGGCCACATAACACGATGCAATAAATCCATACCTGATAGACAATAATATGAAAACAATAACACTGATGGGCACAACTAATAGTGTCATAATGCTACTGCTGAATTGTGGATAGCGGAACGGTACAGTATCGTAATAACAACACGGATTGACAGGGTAATTATTGCAGAAACATGCAGCCATGTGATAAGAACAGCAGAGCATAAATATTGTAGCAATATATCATCAGCAACTATGTCGTGAGAGTACAGCACCCAAGTATTGATTTGCAGAGAGCTTACTAGACTACCCTGCTCTATCATTACACTGAGATAGCATTACTGCTAAATAAAGCTGCGCAATGCTAGTGCAATAACACGAGCTGAGGACTTCCTACTCTCCAGCAAGCAGCAATCTGCAGCATGTTACCTTTTCATTTGCTCCTCGTGGTTATTTTTCTGCACCTCTATTTCTCTTTCCAGCTTCAGGATCATGCTTTGCAGGAACTCCCTGCTCTCCTGATCAGGCTTGGAGACCTCGGCAGGGCTGCTGGTGGGACTGGCCGTTTCCTGTGGCTGATGGCTGGGACTGGGGCAGGGTAGAAATTCCTTATCGGAGCCGCTGCTCGAAGGGCTGGGGCTGGAGCTGCCGCCTTCCGCACTTTCTCCCTGGGAGGCGGGAACGTTGTCGTAGGTCGAAGCCCGGTGAAGGTCGAGCAGCTTAAAAAGGTCATGAGATAACGTTCTCTTATGCCCGTCAGGAACTACGGAGCGCACGCTGCTCCCAGGGGAGCTTTTCCAAAAGTCACTGGCAAGTACGTTGTTCTTGCCATCGCTGCCTTTCTCCCCCGGCACAGGAGCCGTCAGGAAAGATTTCTTGTTAGGTAAAGTCTGAGTTCTTTTCCTTGACTGCGTTTTCCACATTCCCAGTGTATCTTTGGACTGGTTATCTTCTTTGGGCACGCGTGAGCTCGCAGCCGGTCGGAGGGCACTGCTGGAATTCACGTCGTCCCTCTGTAAAACAGACCCACGGCATCAGGACAACCTTGTCCTGCTTTGTGAGCAGAGACGGGTTGCAGCGACTGCTGTGACGGCAGTATTGACCAAAGGCACATTTTAACATGCTAACAGGAGCAGCCACAAGTTTTCCATGAAAAATCAGTTGCGATTGCACCATTAGAAAGCACTTTCTGCAGATTCATTCTTTCTCAGAAAAACCTTTAATCCTCAATGTTTTCACTTCACTAGAATGAACTGAAAAGGTTTCATTCCTTCTGCCTTTTAGGTAAAAACCTTTGGGAGTTTTCCTTTTTCTCAGAACAGTAACTTTTCCACAGGAAAGTGGAAAGTTTATCTACAGCTTTTTCCTGATGTGGGTATTCCAGGGATGACAGTTACAGCTCCTTGCCCTATTAATGGCAAGAGCTCTCAATGGTTTGCGGACCTGTTAGATCCCACCCTAATTAATCACACATTTATTACATCTGTGTTTTATCATCTCTCTGAGGATCTAGCCTTACCATTTGCCTTTGGCTCAAGCTCTCCGCCCTAGGCACCACAGAATCCTCTGCAGCGTCCCAGCCCACGGAGCTGCGCGGGACGGGAGATTTCTTGTCGTTTTTTTGGGTGGGTGGGGAGGGTGGCACATCCTTGGACGGGGGAAAGAGCTCTGCGTGGTCACTTATCATCACAGTCATCACTTTCTGGATCCGTGGCGTGCCTGGAAGAAATGAGGGATCTGTCAGAGGCAAACTCGACGCAACGGTCTTTCTTCCACCCATGTTGGATTTTCTGGGGGGTCCGAAATGGAAACGCACACAGAAATGCAGGTGAAGACAGGGAGCAGGACCATAAAATCAAATAAAGGGAGGGAATTTTGTATCACCTTAGAACCAAAGGAGTAGAGTACGGAGCAACCAAGACAGGGGGCTTGGTCTGCTCAGCTGCACCGAGCCACAAGTGGTGCTTCTTTGGCTCAACTACAGGGATCAGTCCTACGAGCAGGGGTGTGAATATCCAGAGTGTCGGCACGTGAGGTCTGTAGAGCAGAGCAGTCTTTGGCCTTAAAATATTTCTTCTGTTTGTTCTGCTGCATCTGGCCTTGTCCACGGAATTACAGTTTGGCTCAGCTAAACAGTAATTCCTCTGAGTTGCCTGTGTTTCTCTTAAGAAGAATTTTAAACCTCCTTGCTCTAAGCAAAGTAAAAATGGTATTGTCAAACTCCTGAAGTGTTTGAAATCTATGGAGGGAACACTCAACACGACTCTCAAGGGGCTCTTGTCACCATAAACACGTTTATAGGCTGACTAACACGTCGCTTTGCTCCACACTGCTGTACTTACTGTGCCCAGGCGCGTGTCTGGCTTATGCCCATGGCTCTACCATAGAAAACCTTAAGGTCGTGGATGCAATTGAGTATTTCAGCATGTCAGGGGCTCCTATGCCAATTATTCCAAGAGTCCCTTTTACCTCTCATAATAATTGCAGGATCCTCTCTCTGAGGTCTGATGAGGTTCACGCCGATCACTGTTGCCAGGTTATCCACACTCATCTTGTTGACACTAGAGTTCAACTGTATTTCGTGTAGAAACCTGCCAGAATCCAAGGGCAAATATTTCAAGTAAGAGAAGGAAGACTGCAAAAAGCCTAACACCCACTGGTATAAAACCCTGACTAATCCATCCAGCTTCTACTCGAAGTCCCAAGGACAGGAACATGTCCTTAAAATCACAAACTGGAGCTGGGTCTTATTGGTATCAATAGAAAAAGCACCATGTGATGAGCTGCTCACCTGAAAAAAATCGAAAAGGGAAAACTCCAATCTAGTCTCTAACCAGAGAAAAACCACCTAGGCTGGGTGAAACCACCCCTTTTGTTGCACAAAGCTTTGTCTAGAAAAAACTACACTTGATTTTAATTCTCAGGGATTTGTGAGTGAGTTTCAGGGTAGGTATTTTTATGCTCGGACATTATCAAAGTGCTTATTCCCATGGCTGAAATGCTCCCCTTACAAAAGTCAGGATGGGGTACCTCGAGGGAAACCAAAACCCAGCTTAAGAGGGCTCTCCTTTAAAGAGTGAGCCTCAGCTTTTGGGATGGTATTTGTACTCACCGAGACCACACCTGAGCTGTTTACACCTTACGCAGAGAACTGACCTGCAGATATAGCTGAGGAGGTTGTAGTTGTCTCTGGGAAGGAGGGACAGTTGCTTCAGGAGCTCCTGATGGCCCTAAATGCAAGTGAAGAAATAGCTCTGTAAACATTCACAGATAGATACGGGCTCAAGAATGGTTCTTGCTCACTCCATCCACCCCTGGACGGTCTCACCTCTCGGCGTTTGCTCCCCTTGGAGATCACATTTCTCTGGGAGACCAAGCATGGACATGGAGGAGTTTTTGCACAGCGCTCAGAGCCCGTTGCCTGCCCCCCCAGCAAAGGGAATAGCGGGGTCTCCTCCGGCCCGGCGCATGTGTGAGGAGCTCTTCGGAAAGAGCTCTTCATGCCTCATCTCCTTGCATTTCTCGTACATAATCATTTAGGACATTTTTAACCCCAAAGTTCCCGAAGGAGGACAACTTACAAAGAATGTTTGCCTTTGAAATAGAGGGCCCAGAGCTCCTGCTATCAAGGGTATCTGCCTTAGTTTTTTGTGCGTAGGAACAGCATCAGTGAGTGGGGCTTTTCTTGCAGTGGAAGGGATTCTTTTCCCCCAAGATATATAGTTAGGAAAAGACAATTTCCGTCTGTTTCTCACTTCTCCCTCTCCCAAATTCCCACTTTCTTCCTTGCTCTTACTCCTTCCCCCCTGCCAGCTCCGCTCTCAGCTCGGGCTGATGAAGGCTGCTGGAGGCTGGCTCCTTCCTCTCCTGGTTTTCACTCACTGTTTGCTACAAGAGCTCAATGAAGAGGTGCTGAGCAGCTCTTAGATCTGCTCCAGAAATCTAAGCTTTAAAATGGATAAACCCATGTTATCAAGTTGGGAAGCCCACTGAGATTTTCTCCTTTTTTTGTGAGATTTTCTCTTTTTAATTTTTCTTTATTTTTCCCTCCCAGATTTGGAAGCTCAGCAACTACACAGCTTATAATGCACAGCTACACATGCACCCGGCACCTCCAGCTCACAGAGCCCTGCCACTGGCACCCAGCTCATTTTAAGGCCAGAAGGAGAGAAAGGAACCCATCTCTACCTTTCTGTCATCCGCATCCAGTGCCTGACCGCAGAGCAGGAAATCCTCGTACTGCATCCAGGGCACGACGGGCTCGGGTAGCTCCCGCAGGTAGAGTTTGAGCAGAGAGGCCACGGTGTGCACATCTGTATCCCTGCGAGGCGCCAAGAACCACGCACGTGAAACTCAGCCCCAGCTGGTGAGCAAACCCTGCCCTGCCCCAGGAGCACAAGGTTAGATTTAAATTCTGTGTTACAGCTCGAATAAGTAACTGCAGGGTAATTCCACAGGGCACCCCAAGCCAGGCAATGGCCCGAGCTGGCAGGAAAATAAGAGCTTGCTGGAGATTGCTCTCGCTGTAGGGAATCCAGCGTTCGTACCCGGGCCGAGCCTTCCCAGCCCGCACTGGGCTCCTGCAGGTTTGCGTGCAAACGCTCTCTGGCGTTCACGGGTTTGGCCGGCGCTCCCCGCTCTGCACAGAGCTGGCGAAGCTTGCCTGGGGTTTTTAAGATTAACAGCAATTACTGAAGATGTTCTGCCGGGACAGATGTTTGCAGCTTTGCATACCATGTAGTTTACATTATGTCAAAAGGACACTGTCAAGATCATAAGTCTCTAATCTGACCTACCTTGAAGTCACTAAACTGTTATAAACTTGTAGCAAAAACCCCCCAGGTCATTTATTTTTAGAATTGGTTGTGGTGTTGTTTTTTTTTCAAATACTATTATTTTTAACAAATGCACATAGCCATGGGGGAGCTTTTTCAGGGTGATATTTTTGTAGGGCCTACCAATACACACCATTAGGCATCTGGGATGCCTGGGATGTGACAGTAATTTTCTAACCCTTCTCAACCAATCCTGCTGTGCTTGTGCATGCAAAACCAAACGAGCTGTGAGGATGGCACTGAGCCAGCATCTTGGAGCATTCAGGCCACTGGAAACCCCATTAATTTGTCCTCGCAAAGAAAAAGTTGTGGTTGAAGTGCGTGGGGGTCGCAGTCACCTCGAGATGACGGCAGCAACGCTCATGCCCCGCGGCACGGGGTTAACGCCGCAGGCTGCTGGGAAAAGGGCCAAATTCCCTCGGCATGTCCCGCTGCAAAACACAGTTGTGCAGAAAAATTAAAAAAAAGGCTTCACCTTCCTGTGACCCTGGGACAGGTTACAACAGGAAAGCTCTCAGTGGGATTCGAACACCCGGAACACAAGAAATATTCAGCTGCTAAACCAACAGGCAGGATGGTTACACTCCCAGCACAGGGATTATTTAGGTAAAAGTGGGGGTTTTTCTAACAAAGCTGCATAAAGCTGGGATTAAAACAGGACAAGTTTTGCAGTTGGGGACAGGCCCCTCAGCGGAGAGATGTGACCCCGCACTCCACGTAGGCTAACGGTTTGGGGCAAAAGTCATGGGAAGCTCCTGGCTTGGGGGCTTCCCTCTCACAAGCACCCCAGATTTTGCCAGTGGCTCTCAGAGCTCGGGGACACCGTGTGGGGCAGCTCCCCGGGTCTGCCATCGCCACGGCCAGCATCAGACACCTCTGTGCACATGCGGCAGCCGGGGCACTCCTTGTCTCGGTTATGGCGGACAGGGCAGGACTTAAACCCCAAAGACTCACTTTAGGCACTGTGGAGAGGCAAACCCCACTTTTCCTTCTACTTCTGCTGTGGGCATTAGGGTGCTCAGTGATCAGTGATCAGTGATCAGTGATCAGTGCTTTCCTTTAAACCTCTGCCCTTAGCTGATGGGCTGTGTAGGCTCTTCCCTTTTCCTTCCATGGCACATCCTGCAAACGGTAATTGCTCTGTGTGGCCAGATTTTTCCTGAATATTTTCCTTTATTCACATGAAACTCATCTCAGCACCCTCTGATTCTGCTTTTGCCTCCACCCGGAGTTTCTGCTGAATCCTTTCTCCTCATCAAGACTTTCTGGAAGGTCCAAGCTTCCTGCAAGGCACTGCTGGGCTCTCTTAGGGGTTAGATAGGCTACGTTTCCCCAGATTTTGGGGTACATGAGACCTAGCTGAGTTGGAGAGGGGGACTCCAACGTTACCGGTCAAACGACGGCCTTTCCCCGGCATCGAACGCGTCCCTGAGCTGTTTCACCAGATTGTCTTGGCCAGGGAGACGGAAGATGCCCTCCTCACTCACGCCATGCTCCCGGATGAACTCGGCACACTTCTGCACCAGGATGGGCACCTGGTGCTGCCCGAATTTCTGTTCATAGGCCATGGTCTCTGACAGGCGCTGGCCGAACACCGCTAAGGAAAGGACAGAAAGGTTAGAGGAGCCCAAGGGCTTTGCTAAAGGCACGTTACCTGCCGGAAGGGATCGGGTGCAAATGTGACAGTGATACCTGCTTTTCTGATAGCGTAGGAGCTACAAGAAGTTTGCAAACTGGGGGAAAGCAGAACTCCTCCCAAAGAAATAACAGCAAGATAAAACCTTGTTCTCCCCCCAAATAATTAACTGTTTTCAAAACAATCAAAGCCAAGCAGTGAGCCTTGTTTTCTGCCGTGCTGCTTGCCTGCCTTGGAGCAGGGTGCTGGTACAGAGGGAAACAGGAACAGCCAACAGACTGAGGGCACAACGCGAGAAGTCAAGTTCATCACACAAAGCTGAAGGATATAGAAAGCCAAGGAGAACACCAAGAACTGAGAAAAGCAGCCTTGCAGAGATTTGGAGCTGGAAGCCTTATGGATTTAGCTGCTTTTCTTCCCCCTCCCGTCTCCTCTCATCCTCCAGAAACAGCCCTGTGCAAAGAAGAGCAGCGTTTTGCAGGGGACGGTACCTTTCCTTCGGAGCAATGGCTTTTTCCTCCTGAACTCACAGCAAAAGAAGAGCTCGAAGGTGGGAAGGCAGCAGCCTGCATCCCAGCTCTTCCTCCTCGGAGCCTGGGGCATGTTAAAAGCAGACAAATCCCCACTGGAACTGGCTTTGGGATATTAATGGCAAAGGGTCCTATGGTCCTCTACCACGTTTTTGCCCCAGCAGTGCCTGTGATGTGTTCACCTCGTGCTCTGAAGGCTGAAATAATTCCTGTGCATCTTCCAGACCAGGAAAATGTAAGTAAACACTCTCATCTGAAGCCACAAGGCTTGTCAGCACCTGCCCGATCATGGGAGTTTTTCATTTATGACTGGCTTATACTTTTAAATAACGAATATAAACCTGTCATTGTGCACAGTAAAAGCAAAAAGGTTGGGGACTAGGTGGGAGTTGCCTCTCTGCTCAGGTAGCTGGACATGAATTGCTGGTTTCACTGCAAGCTGCTGGATTTGGGGATACCTCCCCGGGGCCAATACAGGCAGCTGTCACTGTGGGGTGGCAGCCAGCTCTGCAAAACCCCTCTGAGATTTTGGAGATGCTTTTGCCACTGCTTCACACTTTTCTGCCTTTTGGTGTGCAACAAGCTCAGAGCTAGCTGGCTTGTGTGGGGCCGCTTCTTGCCAAAACCTCCACCGCGCAGTGAGTTGCTTCAAAAGCACGTGTTGCCTCAGTTTGCATTGAAGAGAAAAGCCCAAAGTGTGAAGTTTCAGGCTCTGTTAACCTCTGCAATGACATAAGATGCAATTCCATAGTACATGACTCCCCTGCTTCCTCAGGGCTCTCTATTCTACTATGAACTCACATTTTTTTATCATATAAGGTGACTTTTATCTAGCTGGAAGAAACTGGCAGCCTCTCAAGTTGAAGCAAGGATCAGGTGAGGATTTGTTATTAAATATCAGAGCCAGAAAATTTCTGGCTCATGCAATCCTAATTTCAGATGAGTGATGCTGCCTGTTTCAGTTTCGAGGCAGCAAGCACCAGGGTTGTAGAGGAAAAGCAGCTGTTCTGGCGTTTAGGTGAAGCTTCTCTGTGCCTACGGCAGGGTCACAATGAAGGAGCTCAAACTGGCAGCACCAGGAGCTATGAGAGACCAGAGCTCCGTCATGCTTATCTTATGCAGCTGAAGGGAACAGAGCCTATTAAAAAATATATAAATCATCCTGGCAAAACACAAAGAAAGGGAGAGAGGAGAAGCTCAGGAGGACCATCCAGGTTAGTACTCTTGGGCAAGAGAGATAAAGAGACTCCTGGCCCTAAGTGGTGGGTCCTGCTTGTAGGGACTCATCCTTGCAGGAAAAGTGACTGGAGTGACCTTTGCTGCTCCCTTCGCGGGCTTCGCCTGTGGTGGCAAATTTACGATGTGCTCCCTTCTGATCTATTCGGCGTTTGTATTTCCCTGACCACAATCTTGTAATGGCACAACTGCACGCCCGAGGGGGCTGGAAGGGAGGATCCTGTTGCCTTGCGATTGCACGACTGAGACAGACTCTGCAGAGAAAACGTGACAGGGGAGCTGGGCTGAGCAAGAAAAGCTGGAGGAAAAGCAGGGGCGAGGAAACTAGCAGGTGAAAGGCAGGGTTGTTCAGTGCTTTACCCCTGAATATGAGTTGTTTTCAAGAACGACATTTTCCGGGGTCAACAAGTCAATGAGGAAGTTCACAAAAGAGGTTGAAACCAGCCCAGAAATCTTCGTTCATGCTTGGCTGCTGTTTCCTTAACACTGCCCATGTCTGCAGCCGCCCCAACCCCACCGGGGCCGGGCTAGGAGTAGATTTCTAAGGCATTACAAGTTACAGGCACAGTACAGCTCCCTTTTCCAGTTTCGAGGAGTTGTAAGCCCAGGTTTGAAATCCTAGCACAAAACTACTGCGGATCTTGAGACCGCAGGGAAATCAAGAGCTGTCCCTGCTCCCCTTTACCTCCTGACGCTGACCCCAGCACCCGCCGGATGGATTTAACCCATTCCTCCATCTCCGACTGGGAATTAGCCATGAGCACGCAGGTGTCCTGTCCTGCCCGGTTCTGGTCTCCAGAGACCCCTGGAAAAAAAAAACATTTATGCATCATTTTATAGAGAGGATTAGAGGAGAAAAGACACATTCTTGGTTTTGTTGCTAAAATCTGGCTCCAAATTTCCCCGTTAAATTGGGTTTGCTTGTGAAATGAAGTTCCCTCTTGCCAAAAGTCTGCAAGGAAGGAACAGAAACTGCTTAACGCTGCAGCTTGCCGACACTTCTCAGCATGAGGCACAGGGACCTCCTCCAGCCCCGACCTTTGAATGTTGAACGCGAGACATTCCTTTTCATGCGCTGAGAAGAAGTGGCAGCAAAAAGATGGGCAAAATGACCTGCCCAGATGGTTTTGGGGGACCAGTGCAGCCCAAAAGTGTGCAACAGGGAGGAGGGGAGCATCCTCACCTGGGATGATTTCGAAGATAAATTTTCCTCCTTCCTCCAGGTTGCTGACCACCTCCTTGATGGTGCTTCCCTGAAGAGACAGGCAGCCCTAGGACAAAGTAGAGCAGCAGCTGCAAAGAGCCGTGTCCCATCGCTGCGAGGCTGGCACGGCCGTGGGTCAGCACTGAGCATCAACATCCTTCCTTCAAACTGATTGCGGGAGCTGGTGGCCTATATATATATTTTCTAAAAATGACTTTTCAAACCATAAGGGACGCTCCTCAAATGGCAGCTTTTCTGATGAAGTGATTCGCAGGATGAGAAAAGTGGTTATTTTTCTCTTCCCTTTTTTTCCCCTCCCTTCTCACATGTTTTTAACCCCTGTCGGGAGCAGAAGAAGAGAATACAAAAGGAGAAAGGACTTGGCAAAACACTGGAGTGTCCTGTTTCTGCTACACCAGAGCAGGAAAACTGTTCCTTTAACATAGCATCACCCCAAAACCAAACCCAAAGTAGAGTAGAGAAAGAGAAGAAAAGGGAGGGGAAATCAAAAAGCAAAGCGGAAACCAGCTGTTTCTCTTGGTCCTCAACTGTCTTGGCGAACATGGGCAGCTCGGTGATGCTGGAGGGGACGGGTGGGGAGCGGCCGAGGCACGTGGGGACGTGTGAGTCAGCCTCCCGGCGCAGGAAATAAGGCTGAGCCACAGAAATGAAGTTTCTCAGCGATTTCAGCCATCGGGCTCCTGCGAGCAGCGAGGACCAGCAGCGCTCCAAGAGCCTGAATTGCAGCTCTCTCCGTCAGGACCGCTGATGGGATCAAAGAGGCCTGGAGTGACCCGGGACGGCCCATCAATCAGGGTCACGGTGAGAACGGCCGAAAAGCGCTGTGAACAGCAACAAGCTTCTAACAGCACTTTCTGTTTCTACATCCCAGTTACCTCTCAGTCACCCCTGAAGTGGGGCAAAGCCAGAAATAGGACCTGGATCCCTCCAGGCTCAGCCCTGCGCTTTCCCTGAGGATTTACTGATTGCCTTCCCCTTACGAGCATTTTCTGTCTGGAGATTAGTTTTGCTACAGGTAACAATTTGTACAGAATGGATTTTCCAGCAAGGGGGAGGAGCTTTCCCTGAAATTTCTCAAAACAAGGAAAAGATGGTGGATATTCAAAGTCGAAGTGTGGGGAAAATGATTGAAAAACTAAAATGCTACCCATATCTATTGGGAAAACAAGCTGATTTCTTCCTGGCAAGTGTCCTACAATGCATGTCCCGAGCAATGGTTTATGTGGGTGAAACAGAGGATTCGTTACAACCCAGAGAGGCTGAAGAAGGGAGGGCGCTGCTGGAGGGCTGCAGGCATCGGGCACCAGTGCAGACGTTTAAATCACGACCAAGTGGATGATCACAGTCCCATTTTGTGCAAAGGGTTGGGTACACGTTGTGAGCCCCTGAGGATCTCAAAAAGCAGCAGAACTGACACGCGTCGAGCGTTCAGCAGTTTTTCCCTGGAGGAAAAGGCAGTGGGACAGTTGCCTCTGGCCGCTCGAGGTGGGGTGAGGCAGCTGCTGAATAACAAACTACATTCGCGCCCCTGAGCCTCCTGCAAAGGCTGGGCTGGGTACAAACCCGGAGGCCGGAGAGAGGGACATTTCCTTTCCTTATCCCTCCAGCTGCCCTCTCTCGTGGCAAGAGGTCCTTGGGGGAGCCAGCCCCCGCCGCCTGTCCATCCCACACCCCTGCCATGAGGGCTGGCTTGCGCTGAACCCAGGCTATATTCAAAGTCCTGCGTATTTTTTTTTCTCTAAAAGCATCCTGCAAGGTGCTTTTCCCACCAAGTGTGCAGTGAAACCTCTCAAAGCTCCCATCACCCTGTGCCCCCATCGCTGCACTAGGAACATGGTGGTGTACCAGCCTCTTGTCCTCCCCAGCCTGTTTCTGTTGTCTTGGCAAACAACGGCAACTTCCTAACTGGTATCTGCTTGGCTTTCTTCCAGCACCTTGTTGCTTGGGCACCGAGGGACCGAGGTCCCAGCAAGGCTTGCCGGCATTTAATTTAAGTGCAAAGGTGAGGCTCCCAATGAGGATATCTCATCTCTGTTGCTGCTCAGAGGCAGAAAACTCCTGGAACACCCTACCCCAGACCCATACCAAACCATTTCCCAATGAGCAAAGCTACAAGAAGGGGCAGACCGAGAACCAGCAAAGCCCAGTGGCCTCGTCCTACCTGTGGCTTGGCATCGTCCTCGTCCTTGTAGTAGTACAGCTGCTGGCCCTTGAGCACGAAGTACCGCTGCTGCCAGTTCTTGACGATGGAGCGCTGCTTTTTCAGCCAGCCGATCTTCAGGGGCCGCTCCAGCGGGTTGGGAGAGCCCGGCCGGGCGCCCGCAGACTCCACGCTCATCACCTGCGAGGGAAGAGAGGGATGAGCTGCCAGCTGACCCGCGTCCCCGGGACCCAGTTAAGCTACAAGTGCAAGGGCGGCTCTCTGCCCCTCTGCCTGCACAGAGCAAACCAGCTCGAGTTTTTAAAGGAAGTGGCTGCAGTATCTGTCAGTGTGTGCTTCCTTTTTCCTGCGTGGGAGTAATTGTCTTGCAAGTGAGAAGAAAATCATTAGCTCTTTTTTTTTTCCTAATGGGAGTGTGTGTTGTTTTTTTATACCCACCCCAAACAGCCTGCAGCAGTGATAACAGAATGACCCAGCAAAAAAAAAAAAAAGTTAGGAAATTGCAGTTTTGCTCTGGGAGAGCTTTGCCTGAAATTTCCAGTGGGGCAGTTCTCACACAAAGGGACTGGAAAATCTCCAAGGCGGGGGAGAAGCACCAGTGTGGATTTACTGGCCGGGCAGAGCAATGTCCTCTGTTTCCTCTTTGCATTGCACAGACGAGTGCCATGGGTGCCACTGACCCGTGCCAGGGACCAGCAGCGTCTCTAAATTCTTCTGTGACAGTAAATGCCTTGGGAAGGATCATTTCCAGAAAGGATTTTTGCCTCTGGACCAGGCCCTGCAGGACCTCAGTGCTAACCCAGCTGGGTACAGTTCGCATTTGTGGTCGCGGGTCAAAAATAATTGTGTGACTCCAGGGGAATTCAGCTTCACTGGTCTCTGCATGTGGTAATTTCCCAAAGACTTACGTCTGTCCTGTCACACCAGAGCTGCCGGGACCTGGCTGGGTCCTGCGGGTGCGGGCAGTGCAGGATTTGGGCCCCTGCACCCAGCAGCATCTGTTGGCAGAGGACATTCAGGCCGAGGGGTTGTGCAGGCTCGAGGAGCTGTGGCGGCCCCGTATCTCTGCACCCCAACACCTGCTTTCCGCTCAGCTGGTCAGCAGAGGGGAGAGCTGCAAAACCTGCGTTAGCTATGAGTGTTGATGAATCCTGGCGTGAGCCTGAGTGCAAAGGACAAGCTTAAAAAAAGGAGAAAATTAAAAAACATTTTGTGCTCGGTGCCGAGCAGTTGCCTCAGAGGTCAGGGCTGTGAAGAGTGTTGCAGCTTTCTCTTCTGAAATCCCCTGGAGCAACAAACCCCGATCCTTTGGAGCCAGGCTGAGTAGGGCACTCTGAGCTCGCCTCTCTGCTACAAACCTGTCATGGGATTGCAAATCACTTCCCAAAAAAAATTCAGAAAGGAATGTGAATCCAGAAGTCTCCCTTCAAAGCGCAGCGAGGATGCTGCTTGTATCTCAATGGGTGCTGCTGCGGGATGCCCCTTGCAGAGGATGTGGTTGTAAGCAAGGACCTTTGGAAGGGATTTGCCAGCCAGCTCCCTGGAAAAATGCCGGTATTGGGGATTGCCCCGATGCAACGAAACAACAACGGGGTTTCCAAATTGCACCTCAAGCTCCGGGCAGCTTCTTTGCCAAAACATCTGCATTACCCAAATCTTGTAAATATTAATATTGCTCTCGATGAACTGCTCACGAGCAGCATTGCTCTTCTCTGGAAATCATGTTCCTTCACGTCTCACGGCTGCTGCTGCCCCCTCGGAGGTGAGGATTTTTGGAGAATTTCCTGCAGAGGTGGAGCAGCTGCCAGGAATATGGAGGCTACGGGGCACCAGGCGCTGCCTGCCTCCCACCAACACTTTGCTCTGCAGAAAGCATGGCCAGAGAGCAAATCCCGAGTGGGCTGGCTCCACACCAGCTCCATTCTGCGGAAAGCAGCGCTCCCATGAGCCAGCCCTCTGACGCCTGCCCAAATTTTGCCGTGTTTTCCTACCCGCTCGTAGGACCTCATCTGCCCCATGATGAAGCAGAGATGCTGCTACTTGCTCTGTTTAATTAGCACTAACGGTGGTGGAGCGAGGGCTCCGGATGAAGCCCCAGTGAGCACAAGGGCTTAATCAGAAGGGAAGGTGCAGCACAGCTCCCGGGGTCCAGCCTCACACCCAGACAGGTGGAAATCAGGGCTGCATCTCCATCCATGAGCCTTCCCCGAAGAGCTCAGCCCAGCAGCACTGATATTCCAAGCAGCACAAGACTTGGAAGGAGAAATCATATCTTTTATGAAAAATGCAATGCTTTTTATCAGTGATAATAATCTATGCCCACCGTGGCTGCACCAGGGCTCTGCACTCTGGAATGGCGACCTGGCAGGCACTGCTACCTGGGCTTCCTCCAACTCTCAGCCTTGAGCTCAAATTGCTTGGTTCTTGCTGGAAATAAGGTTTATTCTCTCCCTCTTTACAGCCTTTCCCAGGTGCATTTGGAGGGGTACACTTGGGTCCCCGTTCTTTAGCATCAGCCCCTCTGAAACGCCAGAGTTGAGGTGGAGCCGGAGGCCTGGCCACAACTTAGCTGTGTCCATGCACCGGTGTGAACCTGCCCACAGGTTTTTTCCCTCTGCTTGAGACAGCTCTCCCTGTACTTTGGGCTCATTTAAGGGCAAAAGAGCATTTTGCAGGATCCTTCTTACCCAGCACCGTCCCCACAGCAGGGCCCGTGCAGAGGCGTGGGGAGGGAGCTGCTGTGGGGACCCAGGTTTTGCAGAGAGCAAGGCTATTTCTGCCCAGTGGAAAGTTTTCTGCATTCACAAAACCAGAATTAGCACTCCCTCTCTTACCACTTTTCCAAGTTCCTACCTTTTGTGGCCCGTGAGACGCTCAGCCTCTGTGCGATGACCAGCTGAAAATTTCACCTGGGGCAGGGGTGAAGCTTTTTCCCTGGCTCTCCCCAGGATGACCCAGCACTTGCATCCCCCTCAGCAACACATCCCTGGTCCCGCTCCTCCTCGCTGCTCTCACAGGGCAGCAAAGAGCCACTAAGTGCAAATGTGGTGCCCCCCAAAGCATTTCGTGTGGTAACTGCTTCTGAAGTTGAGTATTTCCTCCAAAACATCCTCACTCTTCCTCCAGCCCTGGGGACCGGCTGCAGCGGGGTGACCGTGCCCTGCTGCCTGCTCCCTGACAAGAGGAGCCCTGCCAAAGGGTCACTTGCAGGAGAAACAGCGTCGGGTGCCACTGTGGTACCCACGTCGGTGCTGGCTTCTGCCCCAAATCCTTGTCGTGGCCAAGAGCCCTCCCGGCCATCCCCTTTGCGCCGGTTCCACAGGAGGGACGTCGGGGACTTACAACAAAACCCAGTAAAAGTGAAAGCGCCACAGAAGGTTTTGCAGTGGGAATTGGAAATGCGATTTTCTTCTCTATTGAAATAACCAGCGTTGCGTTTTTCTGAGCGTGAGGGAGCACACAGGAGCCAATGCGCTGCCCTGGGGCTTAAAAAAAGCTCCTTGTGCCATGGCCATGGCTGGGGATGAGGACGGGGAAGTGTCGTGAAGGCAGGAGGAGCCAGCAAGGGTGGTGGTGACTTATTTGCAAATACTTTCCACAAGCAAGTCACATCCTCCTGCGTCCCTGAAGACAGCAGCAGCTGGTCCCCGCAGTCAGAAACCCTGAAGCACGAGAAGTGTCGACGTACGGAGCTGTGCCCCAGAGCTCAGGTCTCTGCACACACACACACAGAGCCCTCATCTGACGGGCTGGCAGCAGCTGCAAGCCGCAAAAGCTCCCAGAATTTCATCACAAGCAGGTTTTCTTGAAGAAAAAGCAATTCCTGGTAACAACACAGGTTCAAGGCTGTGTCCCAGCAGCCAGCAGGCTCACTGTCCCCTGGGCTTTTTTTCTGAATGGAGCTTACCCACTGCTCTGCAGCCTCTGAGCAAAAAAAATACTAATTACCTAAAGAACAGGCAATGCAGAACCCGGGATGCTTCTCTGATAACTATGTGGGGATTTCTCCACCGCTGTCCTGCAAGCTGACAAGTGCGGGGGATGGCACGGCTGCCTCTGTCCTCCTGCAAGCTTCTGGCCCACCCAGGGTCTCATTCTGCTCATCGCTGAGCCCAGCCACCAGCGCAGTGCTGGGGACCAGCGGTGCTTCACGTGGGGCCTTGCGTGAGGTAACTGCTTTGGTCACCCCAATGAAAGCGGCTTCAGACAGGGGTCCAAATTGCCTTTGCAAGAAAAATCCAGCCAGGACGGCCTTGCAAAGCTGATGCAAGGTGTGGGGAGGAAGAGCTCAGCACCCCAGAGACCAGCTTGGACAAATCTCTCTGCTGCAGGGAGAAATCAAGTTGCGGATGTGCGCCTTGACCAGATTTTGGCACCAGGGCCAGGACCACGGAAGATCTTGGCCTCAGTGCGTGCACGAGTCTGGGCTCGGGCACCTCTCCTGTGACCATCCTCGCCTCCAAATGCCCTCCCGTGTTGCTTGGCCCAAAAGCAGGCATTGGCTCCACCCCCATATTTCGGGCACAGAGCCCACCGTGGGGATCCCTCGCTCCTTCCCAAAGGCGTTTGCTAGGGGTTCTCATGCTGGAGGTGGCTCCCACAGCAGAGGAGAGCCACGAAAGGCTGGGCAGAGGCAGCACATCAGTCAGGCTCTTCACCAACGCCGAGAGAAAACCAGTGACCTCGGGGTGGACAAAGAAACCCAAGCAAGAGCGAGATTGCTTCCTCCAGCCTGCACCACTTCAGCCCGCCTCTTGGCCTGCACTTGGCTGCCCGCAAAGCTGGTGCCAGCAGCAGAAGCCCGGGTGCTTTAAATCCCCCCCAGACCTGGAGGTGGGGTGGGCAGCACCCCCCCTCTGCCAGGTCCCCCCATTCCCCAGGCACTGCTCTAGCCCCACAGCCCCGGCCGCGCTCACACCATGTTCCTCGGTGATAACTTTTGCAAATCACCTCTTGCAAATCATTTGCGAACCATGTGCTGTCTCGAAAGCGGCAGCTGGAGGGCAGGTCCCCCTGAACTGAGGCCACAGACACCCCAGGAGACCCCGGCTTGCACCTGAACGGCTGAAGCAGAAAGAGGAGGGCACAAAGAAAGCGACACAGTACCTATTTTTGCAGCATCCATCTTCAGGTTGAAATCCCAGTTCCGTGGCAGCTTGAGGGACATTTTTGGATCAGGAAGGGTTGGTTGGTTGGTTTTTTTCAAGCAGGGCTTGCTTAGGTGATGGGCTGAAACAAAACTCAGATAGTCCCGTGGGGCTCCTGCGCCCGGGATGCGATCCCCCTCCCCACGAAGAGCAACAGCTCAGTCAGGGTTGATTTGCCAACGTACTTCCTCCTCCCTCCTCTGAGAGCGGCTCTGAACAACCCCATAAAAGTACTTTCCTGCCTCACTTTCCCACAAAGCTCTCGTCTCGCTTCCCCACCGCCACCGAGGTGATGCCGCCTTTTTTCTCCCCTTTTTTGCTCCCCGATTCAGCGCCGCCACGGCCCGGCCCCAGCTCGCGCCAGGACGTGGCTGCCCGCGGTTGCTCTCTGCGCGCTGCTCGTTGGATTTGAGGAAGTGGGTGTCCTTCTCGGAGCTGCTGGTGTGTTAGAAAATTGCTCGGTGAAGGACACGGCTCTGCACGGAGTTTCGGGAAATGTTTTGCTCGGCAGCAAAGCCTGGCGGGCTGCGTCGCAGGTGGCCGTGGTGAAAGGCTGCAGGACGGCACCTCTGAACGTTCAAACGCGTCCTCGTGGGCACGGTCCCAATGACAGGGGTGGCTTTTGCATTTTCATATTGCAACAGTTGATTTAAGGGCTTTGTAACAGCAATATGAGCAAAATGGGGACAGAATGTGGCTGCTCTTGGAAGGAAGGTGTCAGAGCAGGGAGGGCCAGGGAACGCAGACACAGACCCCACCAGGATCAGGCTCAAACCAAGCCCCTTTCCCTGCTCCCAGCAGTGAGTGTATCCTGTTTCATGTCACTTAATGCTGTTTTTCCTCAAAAGACGTGACTGTGCATCCATGAGGCAGCCTGCAATGCCATCAGGCTGAGCTGTGAGACACCGAGCGAGCACAAGGAAGGGCTGTTACAGTCACGAACACCCCCCAAAAGGAGCAAAAAAGCAGCGCGGGCAGCTGCAAAACACGGCAGCGCGCCCCGAAGCCCTAACGCAGGGTCGCAGCCCCGTTCCTGGAGCAGGAAAGCCCAGACCCTGCGGAGACAGAAGTTGCCCTGGACAGAAGCAGAAACAGTGACGTGGGGAGAGCGGGGGGCTGGAAGAGGACGCGGCCGCTGGTTCCCGTTCTGATTTGCAGCCCTGCCACCATGCCCGGGAAGCACTCCCTTGCAAAGGTTTCTTTTCTTTTTCTTCCTAAATTAAGGCTCTGCCTCTTGGGGCACAACCAGGATGGACTCTGGTGAGCTAATTTGGGTTAATCACAGCTGAAAAACGAATGTGTTGTTTGAGCAGTGCCTGGAGCCAGCTCAGAACGCCCCAGCTCACATATTCCGCCGCCCAAAGTCCAGAGAACATGAGTGTGGAAAGTGATGCTGTCGCAACGGAGCAGCCAGCACGCACCCAGGCCTGAACTAGATTAACCCCAAGATCTTGCTTTGGATCCAAACTGCCCGAATTAACTCGTTTCTGCTGTACCTTGAGCAGAAGGCCCTGAATTAAGCATCATTTTTTCCTCTTTACAATATCTGCAGAAGGCTACAGGAGCTCTAGAGGGTCATCCAGTTTGATGCTTTTTTCTTTTCCCCTTTTTGACTTGTTGCTTTTTCATTTTACGAAACCCCGGCAGCAGCCGTCTTTGCCCACCTGCCCGTGTGAACAGGATGTCACGTGGCGCTTTCCCCGCCCTGAGAAAGGAAACAGCAAGTGTTCTAGCCCAAAAAAACCGTGCACTTCACCCCATGCTGAATTCAGCTCACCCTTCGGAAACACCCAGAGCTGTTTCAGCTCCCCCCTGCTTGCTCCTGCCGGGTACTTGTCGACTGCCTCCAGGTTTGGGAAAAGAAAAGACTGGGTGGATTTTTTTCGTGGCTATCAAATTGGGCAGGCTGTTCCTGAACCGAATGCCCCAGGGGAGCTTAAAAGGGGCAAATCTCAGCCCACGAGGTTGTTTGGTTTGGTTTTACACCCCTCTGCTACCAGGAGCACATGGCAAGTGGGGCTGGACAGGAGGTTGCATGAGATCTGCTCACACCGAGGTTTGAGGCTTACGGTCTTTCTGGGTATGGAGCACCAGGGTTTCCACTGGGAATTTGCAGTTCTCTCTGTTTGCTGTAATTAAATTGCATTAAAAATACGTGGATCTGTTGGAACGAGTCCAGAGGAGGTCACAAAGATGACCCAGGGGCTGGAGCAGCTCTGCTATGAGGACAGGCTGCGGGAGCTGGGGTTGTTCAACTGGAGAAGAGAAGACTCCAGGGGGACCTTATCCCTGCCTGCAATGCCTGAAGGGACCTACAGGGAGGCTGGGAGGCACTTTTTACAAGAGTGTCCAGCGACAGGACAAGGAGAAATGGGTTTAACTTAAAGGAAAACAGATTTAGATTGGATCTTTGGAAAAAAATCTTCAGTCCGAGGGCGGCAAGACCCTGGAACAGATTGCCCAGAGAGGCTGTGGCCCTGCTGCCAGCCCACCGAGGGATTTCATTGTCCCTTTTCCAAAAGATTTAACACTAAGGGGTCTTTCAAGACCTCTTTGTGATGGTATCTCACTGCTTCGTGGTGCTGCTGAGTATCCCATGGTGCTGCTCAGCGTTTCTCTGCCTAACCGGCCGACTCCTCCAAGGGCGACGCGTTGCAGCGTGAGATCTGGGGCTTCGGTGTCGTTTTGTGAGGTTGCTATAGAAAAAGAGAAAGCACCATCTTTTGTTGTTGTTGGCACATTAATTTGGTTGAAAATGCCCACACAGTGTGACAGGAAGCAAAAAAAAAGCGGGCTGCTGAGGGGGTGGTTTGCCTTAGCTGATAAGCCAGAAACAGTCAAAACAACACAAGGGCTAAAAATAGTGTGTTTTGCTGGGTAAACAGAAGGATTCTGCTCTCCTGACCCCACACAAGTCAGGAGAAACGGCTGAAACGAAGTGATAGTTTAGGCCAAGTGGAATTCCAGCGATTTTTCACGTTCCCAATGAAACCTCCAGGGCAAAAGGAGCTGATGTGCAGGGGGCAGCGGTGCCAAACGTTCCCCTCATCTCTGATCGAGCTGGGCCCGTGTGATCTGATCGCGGCTTCCGCCACAAACCACCCTGGAAAGGCAACGTGTCCCTCGTGCAGCAAAACTCCACTCCTAGATAATGGAACTTATATTTATTTAACAGTAACATATAGTATATAAATAGGGTAAATACTTTAAAATATACAATATATCACATTCGGACATTCGGTCAAAGAAAGGCAACTCTACGTGTGTAGCTAAAACATTAATCAAAAGAACAATGCACAGAGGAAGAAGCAGATGGTGGAAACACACCGGGTCCGGAGAAGAGGAGCACACAAAGATTACAGCAGTAGGAAATGCAGCTCCAGGGCTGGGTACAGAGGGCAGGGACCACAGGAGCTTTCACACGATGCTTTTTGTCACAAATGCCTGTCCCCAGCAGGGTGTGGATGGGCTGCAGGGCTGCTCCTCCCCCGCCTCTGCCC